AAAAAAAAAAACACCACCAACAAAGCATCTTCAAAACAGAAGACAGGCTTTTTAAGACCTTGGGTTTCATTCAGTGTTGCTTGAGCAGCTCCCTGATTTCTGTAGGAAGAGGTGTCTTGCCACTAAAGGACTGATACCAAAAGGGGCAGTCGTGTCTGTGTATTCCGGTAACACCTCAGTTAGTCCTGCCATAAATTCCTTATATATTGATAAAGGTCAACAAAATGCTTAGCCTTGTAATCAGAGCAAAGGTTTGAACTTGCAACCCAAGTCCCCATACTTTTTAAAATTATAATTTCACGATTAACCTTATGAATTTTGTTGTGTGTTGAAAAGTATATTATAATGTTTGGTGGAATAATTGCATTTTTAGAGCCATCTTTTTGGTCACAAGACTCTCCCAATATTAATTTTCTCCTTTCCTTCTTTGCCAATAAAAGGAAAAAAAAAACAGCCTGAAGGTCAGATTCATCTATCCTTATATAAGTCTACATTATACATTAACAAAATGCACTTTTAAAAATTCTCTCCAGTGGATATCAAATAATAGTCTAAATAAATATGTGTGTACATATATATGTGTATAAAACTTTGTAAAACTGAGCCTAAAATATACTGTTCATATTATTATTAAGGAAGAAAATTACATTCTGTCTGCTATATGGACAGGTGGTTCTGTGCTTCATGAGCTGTAAAGGGAAAAGTCCCTCAAAAACATGATGTTCTAAACTGGAAATTAACTGCTTAAAAAGATGGGCCGGGCGGTGGTGGCACACACCTTTAATCCCAGCACTCAGGAGGCAGAGCCAGGCAGATCTCTGTGAGTTCCAGGTCAGCCTGGTCTAGAGTGAGATCCAGGACAGGCACCAAAACTACACAGAGAAACCCTGTCTTGGAAAACCAAGAAAGACAAAAAAAAGATGGAAGAACATATATATAAAAGTGTCATAATAACCCATTATTTTATGCAATTAATATACACTAATGAGTTATTTTTAAAGCTGGAGGGATTAAAACAGACTCTTCTATTTTAGGTTTATAATATTTTAGTTTTACATGTTGCTTTGTCTCTGCCTTGCTGTATAGTAGGTCCAGTAAATAGAAGTATGAGCCATTTTTTTTCCCAGTCCATTGGAAATCCACTTATTTTCAGATGCTTGGATGGCATATTCATTGATGGAAATGACAAAGTAATACCAAGAATTATATTCAAGTAATTAATATCCATATCTGAATTCATTATCAGATGTAGAGGCACATTTGTCCTAAGGATTATGGCGTAACCATTTATACTTTAAATAAAAATCCATTTAGATGGCTGCTGTGTGGCAATGTAGCTGCTTTGATCGGTAGACGGAAACTTTTTGGAAAGAAATTGCACTTGCAGGATTCATGTTGTGCTTTTGGATTCTGCTTTGATACACAGAACCCTCTCAGCTCACGTTTTCAGCTCTTCTATCTTGCGCTGCGAGAGACTGACTTAGGCTTTAAGAATGAGTGCCATTCCAGAGTTAACATTCAGAAATTCACAATCCACTCACTAGAGGACAGCGTGTCAACGATTGTTCAGACAGTAAGTTGGCATGATGAGGCTTTTGACAGGCGGTACAACAATGGCTAATTCTTCTTCACCACATGACTGCGTACAAAGGCAATTGAATAACAGCAGTACTTAAGCTGCTGTAACTTTGAGAAGAGATGACTTTTGATCATTAGTGTTTTAGAGTTGTTAAATGATTCCAGAGTATTTTATTGGTGGTGTAGCACAGCCTAACGAACTCAACGCTAGACTAGTATACCCTTTCTGCTGATAAGTTTGAGAGTCGTCTGTTTATTGGCTTGACTTTCCCACAGGTAAAACCCTGACCCTCTGGAAATACACCTGACTCCTTCATTTAACCAAATGACTGTCTGGCACCCTTAGTTCCTGATATTTCAAAAGTAAACTATCAAGTTGAGCATGGGGGTGCGTGGTTATTATTCCATCACTGGAAATAATCACTCAAGCAGGAGGGCCACGAGTTCAAGGTCAACATGGGCTGCATAAGAAGACCCTGTCTCAAACAAACAAGGGAAAACATCTGTGTTTATTACATAGGTTTATGTATAATCTAAACACATGTACTACTTCAAATTTTTACTTTCCTCCATATTAGTAATATTCTGAGTGTGTTCCATTCGTTAAGCATCATAATTCAATAGTGTTTTTTACTCTCACCCTGTTGTGACTTTTTCTCCAAAATGATGTGCCTCTTCCTAGACATCGCCACTAATGTGTTATTAGGAATTTGATGTGTCTGCAGTTTGCCCTGTGAAACAAGCAAATCTCCCAAACACTGCCTACAGCTGCGACAAAGTCAGTCAGTCTTTACAATCAGCGTGTCCTGTATTCTATGTTAGACTACATTTGAAAACTAAGATTTCTAAGAAAGATCTTTATAGAATTAGGAGTAACTTTTTCTTTTTAGTAAAAATTGATGGACAGGGAGGTGGGTCAGTGGCAGAACACTTGCTTGGTTTGTTCAAGACCCTGGGCTTTGTTGTTGCTTTTTTTGTTTTTGTTTTGTTTTTTTCAAGACAAGGTTTTCTCACGTAGTCCTGGCTATCCTGGAACTCGATTTGTAGACCAGGCTGTCCTTGAACTCAGAGATCTGCCCACCTCTGCCTCCTGAGTGCTAGGACTGAAATAGTGCGTTACCACCTCCCAGACTGTTAAATAATTGATTCCCAGGATTGTTAAAATAAAAATCCATAAGGAACATAACACCATATTTCTTTAATAGAGGTTTATCTGAAAATAAAGACTTTTGCTTTCTAAGATCATTCTGCTTATTAGGAACCGTTTTTCCATGTGGGCAATATTTGTCAATAAGTGATTCTATTTTTTTTTCCTTTCCACAAAATCTTCAGGTAATTGTTTGTTATACTGTGGTTGTTTTTTGAAAGAGGGCCTTACTTTGTAGCCCAGGCTGGCCTTGAGATCTCCCTGTCTTCCCCTCCTAAGTGCTAGAACTACATACTACTCGGCTCAGAAGACATATACTTTATATCATTTCACTGAGTTGCTAAAGAACTTTATGGGGGGGGTACACCTATTAAAATACCCTTTTAAGGTGAATATTTTAAAACTTGGATTGTTGGGGTTAGAGAAATGGCTGAGCAGTTAAGAGCACTTGTTACTCTTACAGAGGACCTGGTATGGTGCATGTCTGTAGTCCTAGCACTTAAAAAGTAGAGGTCAGAAGATAAGGAGTTCAAGATCACCCTCAACTGCATAGAAGTTCAAGACCAGTCAGGGCTATATGATAACACTGTCTCAGAAAAATCCAAATACCAACAATACTAAATTCATTATCTTTGGGTCCTGTATGTATGTGTCTTCGTGCTTAACAATGAAGTGTTCTGATCATATTCTCTCCACAGTGATGTCATGAGAATTATATATTATATATAATAATGGTGTCTTGTGTCTAGAAAAATGGTGTTTTTAAACATCCCAATTAATTTTAAATGTTTGTCTTTCAAAATATGATCCACATATTAATAAATGTTAAGCTATAATCTGTTTAAAATAATTAAAAATCCTTTTTGTTTTTTGTGATTCCAGTTTGGGGAACCATAGAGATGTTTTCAAAGGTGTGGTGGGTGGTCTAAACTTACTGAGTTGTGGTCTTTGAAAAGGTTCTATGATACACCCCCTCTGGAATACCTCCTTGAGGGAAAGGAGCTGTTGCCTCGTGGAACTGAGGCCCTGTACCACCGTTTAGGAATCTGCACAGAGGTGGCGGCACATCGATAAACTCCTCACTGGTTACAAATGCCAACTGGTGCTTGAACGCTTCCCTTTGCCCTTTTCGTTTTCAGTCCATTTCGATGTGGCGTTCTTGTTGCACTTAGGGACCTCAAGCAAGGACGGGAGCTTTGGTCAAACTACGACATGGTTATCAGCTAACTTGGTGAATTAAAAATGAGGTTTTCTAAGTAGCTATTGCGTTCATTCCAAATGCTTGGTTGGTTGGCTGCTAATCACTTCTGAGTTCCACCTGCAGAGAAGAAACTTTTAGACTTAACTGGACTTTTTATATTTGTTGTTATATTTATGCCCCAATTTCAAGATATAAGCTACTTGCTTCATAATTTCAAATTTATGATACAATTGCAATTTCTAATCGGTTTTCATAATAGTTTATTAAACTACTTATCTCAGGTTTTCTTTTATTTTGCATACCTCTATAGTTGTGAATGTCTAGCCAAGCATTAGCAGTTCTTTATGGTTTTATAGTTTGTGTGTGTGTGTATGTGTGTGTATCTGTCTGTCTGTGTGTCTGTCTGTCTGTCTGTCTGATGGAGATCAGCGGGTGTCAGATGTTTTGGAGCTGGGCTGATTGGCAGTTATGTGTCACCCAGTCTGTCTGTCTGTCTGTCTGTCTGTCTGTCTGATGGAGATCAGCGGGTGTCAGATGTTTTGGAGCTGGGCTGATTGGCAGTTATGTGTCACCCAGTCTGTCCGTCTGTCTGTCTGATGGAGATCAGCGGGTGATTGGCAGTTATGGGTCACCCAGTGCACTTGTCATGGGTGGAAGGAACCAAACTAGTCCCCGGGAGAGCAGGAAAACGCTCTTCACTAGTGAGCTCTCTCTCCAGCCCCAGCAAGTCTTACAGTACTGTTGATGTGTACAAGCCTCTGTTGCCATGAGTAAATCGATGTCCATGTATAGTTTGCAAACGGTTCATGGGGTCGTCCTCCTCCTTCCTCTAGCTACACCAAGGCAGGGTGATAAAAGGGAGTGTAAGAGATTCTTTTAATGTAGAAATAGCTAAGGGACACGGTTGGTGGCAAGGACGCCCATTCCTATCTCCTGTACATTGGTAATGCTCCTAACCTTCCTCCGCCCACTGGAGACAAGCGACTTTAGCGAGCGAGGCACCTGTGGCTCAACCCTCCAGTTCTCTGTGGACTCTGTGCAGACACCAGTCCAGGTGTTGACAAATGACCATAGTGAAGAACTATACTATCAAGCCAGCCCAGCCGCACTCAGTCCTGAAGCCGTCTGTGCCAGTTTTACTCCTAATGGTTTCTTTGACCCATCCACTTGACTCCTGCTCCAACCCACTTCCCAGCCTGGCTAGGATGACATCATTTGCATAGCCCCTCCCCGAGGGAAACTGTAGGCTCAGATGTTGACCACTGTCACAGCTACATTACTAACTTGGTTTGCCTCGTTTATTGCAATTTTAGTAGCTTCCTAATTGACTTATCTCTTTCCACTCTTGCCCCTTACAGACTATATCTCCAAGGGGTGGTTTTTCGAGATAGTTTCTTCGTGTGTGTAATTTACAAATTGTTCCAACTGGATATAGGTCATCATCCTGACTTCTATTCACTGAACATTTCTGCACTGGGGGTGTTAAAAATAAAAGAGTGCTAGAGATTGTTTTAGTGTGGGAATATTATTAAAGACAAGGTTGGTGGCAGGGACACATGTTCCTGTTTCCTATTTCTGTGGAGAGGGTGTCCTGCATGTCTTGGAACTAGGTCTGTAGACTTGGCTAATCTCAAAACTCAGAGATCTCTCTGCCTGTGCCTCCCAAGTACCGGGATTAAAAGTGTGTGCCAACGCACCCAGCCGCCAAAGGTATTTTAACTTCTTGACACATCCTTACTTAAAACCCTGGAGAAAATAAGGACTACTTCACATCGGGGATCTGGCTGTGGCTTCAGATCTCCTCTTTCCCATTGCTCACTCAAGCCACACACCCACAGCCACCTCTTGACTGTGCCTCAGTTTCTCTACCTGCAGAGACCTCGCCCCAGATCACCTAGGAGCCTGTCCTCTGAGGCTTGACTAATGAACCTTTAACCCCTTCCCGCATCTGACAGCCCTAATTTATGCCCCCCTTTTCTCTACAGCACTTAAGACTTGAAGGCTCACATTTATGTTACAGTCCAACTAGGAATGAACACAGGGAGTCAGGAAGTCATTTGGGCCATCAAGTCCCTAGAAGTCACTGGAGATTCTTCTGCTTCCACAGGTTTCTCCCTTCCCCAAGAGCCTGAAGTACTGTGCAGCTCTCCCATGGTACTTAGCTGTATTTAGAATACTCATGGAGCTACTTTAACAGAGATCTGTCATGGGAAGGCACTGTGGTGTTTGGGAATGGAGGGGTGTGGCTTTTCTAGACAAGCAATGAAAAGGAAAGGGTTAAGGGCTTTCCTCTTTTTACCTTGCTGTGTAAACTCTGGATATCATGTACAGTTTGGAACTATTAAAATAGGACCTGAGAATGCTGGGATCTTTAGCTTCAAAAGATGAAGGCTTGGGAAAGCTATGACCAGAGGCAATTGGATTATGAAAATTATAAATAAGAGTAATGTCACAAATACCAGCCCGTTAAATCGTGATGTCTCATCATATTTCAGTTGTCTTCCCAAAATACAGTTAGCTAGGACTGCTTGAACAGATATTCAGTAACTGCCTCCTTAACTAAATGAGGATCCTCACTTCAAGAATTTTTAGATGAGCCGGGCGGTGGTGGCACACACCTTTAATCCCAGCACTTGGGAGGCAGAGGCAGGCAGATCTCTGTGAGTTCGAGGCCAGCCTGGGCTACCAAGTGAGTTCCAGGAAAGGCGCAAAGCTACATAGAGAAACCCTGTCTCGAAAAACCAAAAAAAAAAAAAAAGAATTTTTAGAATTATTATAGATCAAAAACTAATAATAGAGAGGATTTAAGAAAATTATTTTGTCTCTCAAGCTGAATTATCTACATATCTGGGTATAGCTTAAAATTGGCTTTGAATTTTTCGGTAAATAGTCACACAAACCAGGAAAAACAGATTTCCAGATTTTTATTTCTGGAACTGTACACCAGGTATTAAAGTACAACAAATACAAAATAATGCTCAAAAAATCAGTGTTTATGTACAAATATTAAAATCAATGCAACAATAGCAACTTCCTCTTGAACATTGGATACTAAAACTTGTTCTGATTGTCACTAATTTATCTCATACTCACAGGGTACTTATTTCAAACTGGGACAATTGGAATCACTGGTCATCTAAGAGGAATATTAATATCTACCATATTTAACAATAAAACTAATAGTTTCCCTCCTTTTAGTGAAAAAATTAGGAACTTTTTAAAAAACATAGTAATGTCAATATTTTATAAATTATTTCAATTTCCATTCGTAGACAATGTGCTTTGAAACTCTGGGCAAACAATCTCCTTGGTGGCTGGGTTTGTTAGTTTACATTCAAAGTTGAAATATTTACTAGACTTTGGTTAAATTAAATAGTACTACTACTCTATTAGGTCTGATGTTCTCAAATATTTATGACCTTCAATTTTAAAAATTAAAAAGGAAACGATTGCACAATTCTTTGACCTAATTGTACAGACTTTAGTATTTTTTAAACAGTATTCTACATCCTTCAAGTAAATTCAGCAGTTGACCGGGACAAGAGGAAAACTAAACATTTAGTAAGCTAGCATGAGCGAGGCGAAGCACAACGAACAAAAGTAAGTATTGCTCTAGTCACAGCACCAGGTACACTTCTGATGAGTCCGCGTCCTCTCCAGTTCCCTGTACACAAAGGATGGATCAGCCGACACTGCAGCTGCTCACCATGAATTTTTGGTTTGTTCATATGAAAATATTGCGGCAAATGAAAAACAACAAAGAATTTATCACAGTTTGCTATAAGAATTGTGCTTAATGCGTGATAATAAAGGCATTGTTTTTTTCTTCATACAACTACAAATCAGGTTCTTTTATGCCTTCAAATTCAATTCTTTTAATAAACAGTAACAAATTCTCTGTTAAGATATTTAAATGGAGACAAAAAAAAAATAAGTCCAGCTGTTGAAAGAAAATTCAATAAATAGCTATTTTACATGGATAAAGTCATAGTGGTACAATTTATGAATGTCACATCAAGCATGCACAAAAATGGTATTATACATGGCAGGAGTCGTCAGAAAATATTGAATTAGATCTAAAAAGATATGAAGAATTTACTTTACATATATATACAAAAATCTTGCAAATTATTGCCTCATTTTAACAAGGAATTAAAAGTAAACGTTACCAGCTAGGTAGCACTCTCTAAGAGGCTAAAATCAGGTTAGCATTTAAAAATCTGTTAAGCTAGCTGGAATTTATTTTTCTCTCATATCATTTTCTGGATTTTGGTCAAAAATCTATTTAAATAACTAAAGTGTCCATTCAACTTGCTGATAATCAAAACTCTAGATAAGAAACACTGTTTCCATCTTGTATCAAGACCCCAGCAATGCATAGATAAACTGGATATATTACTGCATCAGCTAATGAGAATGGGCATCTTCATTAAGTGCAACTGGTACTAGCATTCAGTCATCTTTGTGTAAATTATTTATACAGACCAGCCACTGTAAACCCAGAGTGAAAATTAAAGTTATGCAATGGAAGAGTATGCCCAGTATCCTCCTACATCAAAGAAAGTATACTAAGGGAACAAAAGAAATAAGGTTCAAAGTTTAGCACAACACAGCAATAAGAAGCTAACCACTTGGATAAAATATCAGAAAGCAACATAGAGCCCAGGCTACCCATTATTTACTGTGTGCATACAGGAATACTAGATTTTAGATGTATAAGTTAGAGACTGATTTTAAGTTATTAATTTAACTACCCTTGTCCTCTGTGCTAAACTAAAATTTTATAGTCAATGTGCTACTGCATTAAACACTTCAAAGCAATCTTCATTAAAATGCTGCAAAGAAAAACAATACACATCATCCAAAACTAAGGATGTCATTGCAGTTCACAGTTTGTATAATAAATACCCTCCCGTTCATCACTAAGACCACTACATCCTATCTAGTCAGCAGCACAACCTTGAAGCGACTCACACTTGCAAACAGCAACACAGTCAAATGGTAAGGGTTTTTGCAAAGCAACAAA